TTATAATATATTAATAGTTATTATTTTTTATCATAACAGTATCTTTTGATATTTTTATAATGTTATAATATGTTAATATTGGAAATTTATTATTGAACCGCTGTAGTATCTCATAATCAACCAGTCATAAATGTCCCGCAAACGGACCAATTTTTAATCGCTGTACCAGTCGTACAAATCGCCTAATAACGCTAGAAACTGCAACCACCCACATCCGCAAACGCCCGCAACCGCTATCGCTGCGTTGTAACCAGTCGGACCCTAAATAACAAGAGCTTCACTTCTTGGCGAGAGACTTTGAATTTGGTGCAAGAAAGGATTACAGTTTCAAGTTTATTGTAGCCGTTTGCTTCAAGAAGTGTAACGCTCACTTACACAATACTGTGACTGACCGTCGTGACAAAATTAATATGGGACCCTTGTGATTGATATTACATATTGGATCATATCGAAAATAACACATTGATACAAAGAGGAGACAGTCACAAAATAAAAGTGAATCCGTTTTCTTTTGTTATGTAAAAGCTTTAATGCTGTAAATTATTATTGTTGGCTTTTTTACATGTTAGGGTCCTCCTACCAGTCCTTTAACCCACCACCCATGTTCTTTGTTTTTTGCCTTTACAACCATGCATCATTGATTACTCCACATAAAAAAAAATCAAGTTTACATGAGAAAAAATAAAATAATCAAGTTTATTAGTGAATAAAGAAACATAAAAGTAAGTTTGTATCTTGAGAAGAGGGCTCCACTTTACTCAGATGCAGAGAATAACATGATCTTAATTCTTAACACAGTTTTTTTAACTAACCCTCTGGATTCCATTAATCCGATATTAAATTAATATCAGTCCCCAAATAAACTCATCCACTTACTAATCTCTTCATTTCCATACGAGTTTGGTAAAGAATCTTTAGCAGTTAGAGACACAAAGCAGGTAAGATTAGATAAGACAATAACATAGCTTAAAGGTCCCTCACATTGACAATCACATATAGATACCAAACACGATACATAAACCAATCACATTATTTTTGTCCCAAGCATATAGAAAGACAGATGACGTCACTCTTGTAATAAAAATATCGTTTCTGTCGCATTTAGAATTCTTTTCGAAAATAAATATTCAAAACCCTAAAAAACAGAGATTGACTATTAAGTGTTTGACTACCTTACACTTCACACTCCTCTCTGTAATAACCACCACACCTTTCTTCTTCTCCAAACCTCTCTCTAGGGTTTTGCTCTCCTTCAATGGCCAATCTCTCCACATTCCTCTCCACTCTCCTCCTCCTCCTCTTCTCTCTTCCTCTTCCCTCACTCCAAGACCTCTCCGCCGACAAATCCGCCCTCCTCACCCTCCGCTCCGCCGTAGGCGGCCGCACATTCCTCTGGAACACCGAACAAACCACACCATGCAACTGGACCGGCGTCGCTTGCGACGCCACCACCAACCGTGTCACCGCCCTCCGTCTCCCCGGCTTCGCTCTCTCCGGGAACATCCCCGAGGGTATTTTCGGAAACTTAACTAACCTCCGCACACTCAGTCTCCGTCTCAACTCACTAACCGGCACACTTCCCTTAGATCTCTCCTCCTGCTCCGACCTCCGCCGTCTCTACCTCCAAGGAAACAGATTCTCCGGCGAGATTCCACCACTCTTGTTCAGTCTAACAAACCTAGTGAGGGTAGATCTTGGGGAGAACGAGTTCTCTGGAGAGATCTCTTTAGGGTTTAAGAACCTCACGAGGCTCAAGAGTCTTTACTTGGAGAACAACAAGCTCTCTGGCTCTCTTCTTGATTTGGATTTGGGTTTGGATCAGTTTAATGTTTCTAATAATAGTTTCTTGAACGGATCTATACCAAAGAGTCTTCAGAAGTTTGATTCCGATTCCTTTCTTGGGACTTCTCTCTGTGGGAAGCCGCTTGACGTTTGTAGTGATGAAGGGACTGTGCCGAGTCAGCCTATTTCCGTCGGAAACATCCCCGGAAAGAGAGAGAAGAAGAAGCTCTCCGGAGGAGTTATAGCCGGGATTGTGATTGGTTGTGTGGTTGGCTTCTTGTTGATAGTTCTTGTTTTGATGGTTCTCTTCCGGAAGAAGGGTAGCGAGAGAACGAGAGACGTCGACTTTGCAACTTTCAAGCCTCGTGACATCGAAGTTCCGGAGGAGAAGACGGCCGTGGAAGCAAATGAGCATTCCACGGTGGAAGTGAACAGCTCAGGGACGAAGAGATTGGTCTTCTTTGGGAACGCGACGAAGGTTTTTGAATTGGAGGATTTGTTGAGAGCTTCTGCGGAGGTTCTTGGGAAAGGGACGTTTGGAACGGCGTATAAGGCGGTGCTTGATGCGGCGACGTTGGTGGCTGTGAAGAGGCTTAAGGATGTGACGATGGGGGATAGAGAGTTTAAGGAGAAGATTGAGGTTGTTGGGGCGATGGATCATGAGAATTTGGTGCCGTTGAGAGCTTATTATTACAGTGGAGATGAGAAGCTGCTTGTGTTTGACTTCATGCCTATGGGAAGCTTGTCTGCTCTCTTACACGGTGACATGTCTATATCTCTTTCGTTATTGTTGATACTTAATATTTTCTGTGCTTAATCGTTTAAATTTGGTTTATTTGCGACACATTTGGTAATCAGAGTCTGTAGAACACTATATTGCACAAAACTTAGGAAATTTTGTAGAATAATAGTTCTTGCAACTTTGATTTGCTTATTACAAAACACTATATATTATATAGACATCTACATTTGTTACGGTTTCTGTTAATTAATTAGGAGTTAGGACAGTAGTTAGACTTATTTGTCTTAACAATGAAAACTTACTAGTTTCAGAGAATATCTTTTTTTTTTCTTTTCTTTGTGTGTTATGCTTAATGTAGAAAGATGCTATGTTATAGGAAACAAAGGGGCAGGACGTACTCCACTGAACTGGGAAGTCCGAGCACGTATCGCTCTTGGAGCAGCTCGTGGACTAGACTATCTACACTCACAAGACCCATTGAGCTCTCACGGAAACGTCAAGTCTTCCAACATCCTCTTAACAAACTCCCACGACGCACGAGTCTCTGATTTCGGTTTGGCTCAGCTCGTTGGCTCCTCAACCACAACACCAAACCGGGTTACAGGTTACCGTGCCCCGGAGGTAACTGATCCTAGTCGTGTCTCGCAGAAGGTGGATGTGTATAGCTTTGGTGTGGTGCTGCTAGAGCTGCTCACGGGGAAGGCGCCGACTAACTCGGTGATGAATGAGGAAGGGATGGATTTGGCGAGGTGGGTGCATTCGGTGGAGAGGGAAGAGTGGAGGAGTGAGGTTTTTGACTCGGAGCTGATGAGTTTGGAGCCGGTGGGCTCGGTGGAAGGGGAGATGGTGGAAATGCTGCAGCTGGGGATTGAGTGTACGGAGCAGCACCCTGACAAGAGGCCAGTGATGGTGGAAGTGGTAAGGAGGATCCAGGAGTTACGCCAGTTGGGTTCGGATCGGGTGGGCTAGACCATTGGATTGGAGAGGCTTTGAGAGGTTCCTGGAACAATGATATGAAACGCCGACGTTTGGCGGCGTTTGATGATGGATGTCTTTGTGGAATCTTTGTTGTTTAAATGTTAGTTTAAGAATATGGCGGGGAAATGGAGTTGAGGTCATTAATTAGATGTTTTTTTTTTTTTTTTCTCTTAATTTTAATGGATGCAATGAATATGTAGCTACCAATGACTATGTAGCTAACATTTCGGCAGACAAGTTAGTAAATACGAAATTATTGGAGTTATGTAGGGTTGCGTCCTAAATGGCGTTTTGAAATCATTTAAATGTGTAAGTAGGTTATGACTTGTGTGGTCCTTTCTCTTTATCTTTTACCTCACCAGCCTCATGTCCTTGTGATTATGAAAACATGGGGGAAAACTATACCAACATCTCTTTCCCATGAAGTGTTTAATATCCCTTGTCTCCTCTTTTCTCTTTTGTAGACATAATAAATTTAACTGATTCTAGTTCACTGTAACATAAAAAGCTTTGAGTGGCATCTCTTGATTTTTGTCAAAATGTTTTTGATCTTCAAATGTCTGATTTTTAATAATATATATGTACTTTGCATTCTCATCTTCATGTTTCATGGACATTGGCTTGACTAAGAAAACAGAGTACTAGTATCACTTTTGACGAGAGTTTGGTTGTGGCTCATCTTTCCAGCCTTTAGATAGAAGATCGTAGTTGATTGATGCCAACTGCGATAGGTTCTGCAAACCGATGAAAAGAAACAAAGTTAGACCGCTTAAGTTTCTTGTTCTCTTATCAATAACTAATATAAGCTAACCAATTGTATACTCAGACAACGCGGGTACTTAACAGGGAGGGAGGTCATGAGATAATTACCTTAAACGAGAAATTACTGAAAGAGTAATCTACAGGCACGCCAGACTCAAACTCTGCTTGCCCGTCGCTTTCTTCAACCTGTGTACCACCATTTTGATTCAAAGAACATTAATTAAAGAGTTATTAAAACTATATTTAAGGAGGTTGAATTCAAAGAGTGGATCAGTGAACGTTACCTCTCCTTCCTCATGGCCATTGCTCGAGCAACCACTACTACCACTCAAGGTATCAGCATCGCTATAATCTTCAACCTCACCGGATGGGAAAAATTGCTCATCCGATGTGTTCCATGAATAGCGACTTCTGAAGTAACTAGTGTCAATTGCACTCTCTGAATCTGGAACAAATGCAGCCTAAAGAAAAAACTAGCGTTAAGCTTTGTATATGCCATGACGTCTGCTTCGGCAAAGGTTATGTATTTAAAAAAGAAAAACAAATTGCACCTTTTGCCTCGCTAGTGTATCCCAGTTGATGTCTTTAAAGAAGCTGTGCTGCTTGACCTGCGTCATGAATTTTGTTTCATTAATATTATACAGAAACCTGGAACTAGCTATCACAGAAAAAAAGACATCCATTTTTTACCTCAGCAGCCCCTCTTGCTCCAAGTCTGAGGTGAGGGTCTTCTGTTAAAAATCTATAAAAAGAAGATAACATAATGTTACAGACAATACCCTGTCTTTTCCTTTAAGGAGCTGAGATTCGCTCTTGTATCGAGCGTCTTTGGCATGTTCATAGTGAAACAGAGTTACTCAAGAAGATGAGCAGAAAATAGCTATTCATAAATGTTTTCTGGAAACAACAAGTGTGGAGCATATGATTAGAGAGAGAGAGAGGATCTCTTACCGGTCTATAATATCATGTGCTTCAGCACTCATTTCTTCAGGGACATGAGGCCATGGTATGTTACGATTGAGAATATTGTCAAATATTTGCTGGAACCAAAAAAAAAAAAAGGTAAATCAAATGTTGAAAATCGAAACAAGATGCAATGTGCTATTTATAGAAGCCTAAGTAACTATTTCAAATAAAAACCAACACAAAAACAGAAACCGGCAATTCAAGACAAGCCCAAGTATGCTCCTCTATCAAAGCATGAACAGGAAACAACGCAGTGATTGGTCTTCTTACCTGAGGATGTTCCGCATTGAAGGGTGGAATTCCCACAATGAGTTCAAACAGAATGATGCCAACAGACCACCAATCCGCAGTTGCACCTGAAACATATTTGGACCTATGTATAAATTTTTGCAGTTTTGGCATGTGATAAGCGGAACAGAAATAATCTGAAACTCAGAAGTTAAGCGTACTAAGCATATTACATAAAATACGCAGAAACAGATGTGTAAAGCCTAACTCAATAACCAATCCCAGAAGAATACGGATCACACTCTACTAAAAACACATATTAAACCGAAGATAAGCAGACACCAAGATAAGAACGAACCATGTCCTGTCCCTAAAAGGATTTCTGGTGCTAAGTAGTCAGGAGTACCCACAGCAGACCGTTTCTTGCGCCTTTCAAGCTGATGCTCCGAAGTCGGTAATCGTGATTCCTCCTCATCAAGCAGAGATGTCCCAGGACCAGATAGATCATCAGTGCTGTTGATTAGACCAACTTTTGACAGTCCAAAATCTGTCAACTGCTCAATAAAACGAAAGAAACCATAAAGTTGCAGTGGTTCTGAGAATTTATCCCTGATCCTCAAATAGCAAGACAACAAAAGATGGCCAAACAGTTGTAACAATGCAAGAAAAGGATACCTTAATATGACCATCATGCGCAATCAACAAATTATCAGGCTTCACATCACGGTGAACAACACCCTCAGAATGCAAATATTCCAAAGCAAGGACCTGAAGGGTAAATTGAATCATGGAATCACTTCTAGACCGTTTATGGCATGACTTTAAAATAAACTTGCAGAACTTACAACTTCCGCAATATATACACGGACAATATCTTCCTCTAAGCAACCTAAATTTCTCAACAACGAATACAGATCCCCTCCATTCAAATACTCCATCACCAGATACAGGTTGTCACGATCTGTGAAAGAATAGAAGAAACGAACCTGCTCAAAAACAAAGTTATGTTAAAAGAAGCAAAAATATCCAGAGAATATGCTTAAAGGGTCAGACGTGCTCACCACAAAGGGATTGCGGACATTAATCAAAATGTCACGTTCGGCAAGTATACTTTCAACAGCATTCTTGCGGATCATATCTGCCTTTTTCAAAACCTGAGTATGACAAATATTAAACACACAAGATAAGAGAAAATCTTACCAAAGATTTTGCCAACCACGTCGTCCCCACTACATAAAACAAAAAGAACTAAAAACACAACAAAAGCATAATATCTTTTACCTTGATTGCAAATAGATCTCCTGTCGTTCTCTTTTTAGCCAAAAAAACTCTCCCAAAAGCTCCCCGGCTTATTGGTTTTATGATCTCAAAATCATCTATGGATGTGCGATCCCGCGGATGCACGTTTCGAGCAACATCATCTTCTAAAGGAGCATCTTCATCAATTACAGTGCTTGATAGGTCAACTTTTTCATCATCCATAAGCTCACAGATCTGCAGATATTTCTCCCTACATAATCAAGGAAAAGTTTATTTCCAACAGTTCATACTTCTGGAAATCATAAAAACATCTCCCAGAAATTATACACGCACGCAAAATGCAGAGTAAGGAAGGGACTTCGGAGAAGATCTTCAAAAAATAACATAGGAACTTACCGGATTAACTTTTCTATGCGAGTCCCAAAAGTTTCTACTGTAAGTGCATCAAACTTTCTGCGGTCTATGACCACCCTCAGATCTTCAAGACAAGAAAGTAAAAAGGGAATTGATTGCTCATCACCCGGAATGGCGTCTGCTGCACATTTTGCAATGTCAGCGAGTTCACTCATCTGCGTTATTGGTTGTCAAATTTTTTTATCAGGGTCACAAAAGACAAAAAAAAAACTTACAAAGATGGAGCACAACCATCACAAACCTGTGGAATATCATCGTGGTCATGGAATGTACCCTTGCCTCCTAGAATCATTTCAATTGGATCAGGTCTGGGGGTCGGAATCGGTGATCTAGGAGTCATGCTGCTGGCAGATGAAGTTGCCATGCCTAGATCAGACTTGGAACCAAAACGGGTTTTACATGACATTAAGGGTAGACCTCTCAGATCATCCATGACAACTGAATTATCAGTCTCTGGGAGACAGTCAAGCATGTCTTCTGACCCTCTCCGAGACCAATCACTCAACCTTGGAGAGAGAACATCACATTCTTCAGTCAAATTTGAATTGGATACTTTCATACCATCTGGGCTTTCAGCAGCTGCTAGGTTATCCTTATGCCTGAAGGTCTCTGCTATCTTGTCAAGCGTTCCAGCAATAGCCATCAGCCGCTCATCAACACTCAGTCCTTTCTGGTCATATTTATCAGCTAATGTACAAATTCTGGAGTGATCTTCAACATGGGTAGTGGGAACTTCCTCCTCACAGATGCGGCACATTATTGAACTTTCTTCCGAGATAAGTGTCTGTTCCCCCCAGTAACCCCAAGAAATATTGTGCCGATGCTTGGGCGAATGTTCATGAGAATCTTTAGCTGGCGGGCAGTTTAGAACAGAAACAGCAGTATCATCACTAGGTTGTCGTTTTCTACCCATATTTGGAGGTTCAACTTTGATATCATTCAGCTCTTCTGATGCTGGCGCTTCTTTCACAGTTTTCAGTGCTGGAGATGGAAGTTTCTTCCAGGAAGACATTCTATCAATGTTTGCAGGAGATTCAGATTCCTTAAGAACATAATTTTCGGGAGGAGAGATAGGAGGAACTGAGCGCACAACAGCGTCCTCCTTCCACTCCAAACCACGCTGTTCTTGACTATATGCTTTCTTGGTGGATGGTGGTATCTTTAAGGATTTTGCAGCACTTGAACTCCTCCCTGCTCCAGTAGGAGGTAACTTTTCCATAGAATGCAAAACTCTTGACTGACGTAGTTGTACAGCTTGTTCCTCTTCTCCCCAACTTTCCTTATGAAACTGAAGCAATCTCGTACATCTGGTAAGTATAAAAAGCATCCGAGTATGAAGCTGCTTGAGAACTCCCGGAGGTAGCTCTTGACGTTTATCATCCAAGTCCTGAACTATGCCTTCACACTGAAGCCAGAAATCTCCAGGAGTAGTCATAGCACAGCTGCGAGCCAATATCAACAAATCTTCAAACGTTTCCTCCCACTCAGGATGACTTTCTGCATTTTTCTCAAGAACTCCCACTAGGTCAGCAGCAAACACCGCAAGGTCAGAGTTTACTTCTTCCTTCGCTTTATCAAATTTCGCCCTAATTAGAACCAATATCTCCTGGAATAAAAAAAACAATATTTAGATTCTGCATACAGCCAAAAAGGGATTAAATAGAAAGAGGAGAGTGTAGATTACCTCCACATTATTCGACCTACGAGGCTTCCACAATGGAAATGGCCGTACACCTTTTGAGTTCAGCTCATGAGAAAAGCTTTTAATGTCACCAGGAAACCTCTTCCGCGGAGCACTAGTCATACGAAGTAAGGCTTGATAACGCGGTGACTCTGACTCTTTCGGATTTTCCAATTCATACGAATTCTATAAAAATAAATCACTTCAAACTTATAAGCATAACATAAACCACTTCAATATATATATGATAACGAATGAGCTACCTCAGGGGTGCAGAATTCTGAATTTCTTAAAGGTCCAGAACGTCCAGATGCCACAGAGCGACCTACCAAAAAGTATACACCATTATAATAACAAACTCAAGAATCAAGAAACAGTTGTTGTTAGTAATCTAAGTACATACTAGCTCCCGATGACGACGAAGATGATGCTACATTCTGCAATCGAGATCCTGATGCCGCCGGCGGCGGCAACGTAGGGCTGACACTCCTCATTGGACCAGTATCAGGAGACAAGCCATCACGATCACTCATACTCCCACCTTCCTTCTTCTTACTATCACCACTGGTAACCATCTTAGACAGTTTACTGGTAGTTTCTCCATCGTTCCTAAAATTGAAAACACTTTCCCGCGGCAACGGCCCGGATCTCGTCTTGATCCGGTTCAATCCCAGAGAGGAAGCCATGATCGGCGAAACGAAAGCAGGTCCTCCTTCTTTCACGTCCTGCGCAACGGTTACTTTCTTCGAATCGGAGCTTGGAGACAAGTTCGATTTACCGATTGAGTGAGGAGATGGAAGTTGCTTTCCCTTATTCTTCTTCGAAGCGTCGGCGGAGCTCGGATTAGGGATTGGGGATTCGTCCTTGGAAGCGGATTTAGGTTTCTTCTTGTCTGATCGTGAGGGAGAGTTGGAGCCGACGGATCTGGGGCTGTTGGAGCTATCGGGGCTGGAGGATCCGGATTTCTTCGAGGAGAAGAAGAGCTTGCTCTTGAATACCATTTTTCGATTCAGTTAAGTTTAAACCTAATCACGATTACTCAGAATCTAGTTGTCAGTTACACACTCCAACTTTCGAAAGAGTGCTCTCTCTCTTTGATCTGATTCACTTGAGATCACAGAGGTTGAGAGTATTCGATGTACGGAAGCGACGAGGAGGAAGAAGAAAGTGTGACTGTAGTTAGACCACCGTAGATTTAGTCTAGTCCCAAAAAGAAATAAGTCATCAAAAAATGGTTCAGACTTAAAAGAGACTAGATTTTGACTTTTTGATTGAAGATTTTAAACTTTCATTATCTATCAATTGTTTTCGGGTTTATAGTGATTAAAACCTCCAACTATTAAACCGTTAATACCGTTAACCTTCCGTTATCAAAATCGTTTTTTCTTAATGGAGATCCGTTAAATCGAAACACCGCGTTTCATGTAATTTCAAAAACGACATAAGGTTCTTACTATCAATATATATTTTAGTGATTTAAACCTCCAACTATTTTTAAATCGGATAAAAACCCCTAATAATTTTTTTTTATATTTTTAAACCTCAACTATTAAACCTTTAATATTTTTAACCCTCTGTAAACAAAGTCATATTTTCTGAACGGGAAACCTTAAATTGAAATACAAAGTTTCATGTAATCATATAAACAACATGAAATGTTTAAACCCCCTATATCAATGAGCAATGATAATCACAATTCACCCTCAAATAAAAAATGAATATGAGAGAAATAATTAGAGTTGATTGCGTACTGTTAAGGTAGATGGGTTTTCAACCTAAAACCAATTGGTGATAAGTAGAGTGGCCCATCTATCTTATATACTAGATATAATCTCTTGCAACTTCTGATGTGGGACCTTTGTCCCTAACGTCCCCTCGAGATGATGGCTCTTTGGCGTCAATCTCGGAATGTTCGGACAAAGACCGATGGGCCGAATTTGGGCTGGATCGATAAGGATCGAGTTGGACTTTGTGGATCATGGACTCTGATACCATGTTAAGATAGATGGGCTTCCAATCTAAAACTGATTGGTAATAAGTGGAGTGGTCCATATATCTTATATATTTCTTATAATCCCTTCCAACAACCGATGTGGGGCCTTTGTCCCTAATACGCCCCTCGAGATGATGGCTCTTTGAGCGTCAATATCAGAATGTTTGGGCAATGATCGATGGGCCATTAAGATAAAATAGAGTACAATAAATAGGTGAAAGACAGGAGAAAAGAAAAAGTGGAAAACAATACAAAAGCCAGCGCAATACATATTTCTCTGCATAAACCAAGAGAGAAAAATGAAACAATTTACTATGTTTCAACAGTAACTAGCGAAAACGCAAGTTAAAATTTTTTCACATGATTGGCTAAATATTAGCTGGAGTCAAAGTAAATATGTTTTACACTTAAAATATATCGCCAGAAGTGCCATACAATCATAGCCTAAAATTAGAAACAATAGAATTTTTGGACTTACCTCACCTTCGATGAAAAGAAAAAAGAAATTTAAATTTTTTTTATTTAAGGATGAATTGTGATTTTCATTGCCCATTGATATAGGGGGTTTAAACATTTTCTATCGTTTATATGAACATGAAACTCTGTGTTTCAATTTAACGGTTTCTCATTCAGAAAATATGACTTTGTTTACAGAGGGTTAAAAGCAATAAAGATTTAATAGTTGAGGGTTTAAAAATATTAAATTCTATGTTGGGGGTTTTCTATCCGATTTAAAAATAGTTGGAGGTTTAAATCACTAAAATATATATTGATAGTAAGAACCTTATGTCGTTTTTGAAATTACATGAAACGTGGTGTTTCGATTTAACGGGTCTCCGTTAAGAAAAAACGATTTTGATAACGGAAGGTTAACGGCATTAACGGTTTAATAGTTGGAGGTTTAAAAACATAAAATTTTAGTTGAAGGTTTTTTATCCGATTTAAAAATAGTTGGGGGTTTTAATCACTATAAACCCATTGTTTTCCAACAGACCTCAATTTTCATACTTCCACTAATTTTTACACATTTGAAAACTTAATGAGAAATTATCTAAACTGAATTTATTTTAGATATGTATAATTGATAGATAATGAATTAATGAGAAAATTATCTATTAATGAAAAAATGAAAGATAGAAAATTTATACGCCCTTTATCCAAAAATAATGAAAACTTAATGAGAGTCGTTGTAAAATAAAAAATGAAAACTTGATGAAAAATTATCCATATTTATTTCATTTTACTGGCAAAAAAAAATCTATTGTTTTGAAATGTTATCGAACTTGCATTACTTTTACGTGTTTTGATTTTAGGAATTACAAACCTTTTCCATGAACAATTAACTCTTGAGTTACATATATTATTTTAGAGGGGAAAACTAAGACTGGCCAAATAAATTAAACCCAAATTTTTGAACCGAATTCGATTCGATAAAACAAACTTCATATAAATAGTAAATGGATCTTATTTTGTAATATTATAGATTATGGGTGCTATCCGAACTAAACCTAAATAGATATCCAATAGATATAATTTAAATCTCAAGAATAATTTATACCAAACACGATCTTAATTCTTAATATATAACCAAAATCTAATAAAATATTATTGAACATAAAAAATAATTATCTATTTTATAAATAATTAACTCAAATAATTAGTTTAATATATATTTTGGTATTTAGTTAATATTGATGTTTGTGTTTAATTTTAAAACTCTGGTTATATAAACTTGAGAAAGATTTGTAGGGTCTCTTTACTATCTTTTTTATTATATGTCTAACTTTTTTGTCATTGAGTTTTCTGTTTTAGAGTTTCAGGTTTAATATTTTGATGATTAAAAGTTGAAGGTTAATTGTTGGAGACGGCAGAAGCTTAATTTTTTTAGATTGTGGTGTTGTTTTCATTGAATAATGTTTTTTATGCTTTTATTTATTGGTTTTCTTTATCATTAACTATGTTTATCTTTTTGTTTGATTTTGAATAAATACATTTGACCTTTTTAATTTTGAATCGATTTTACTTATATTTTTATTACAAAATAGGTACAAATCATGTTCTTTTAAATTGAAGAATCAATTTTACTTATGTTTTGGTTACAAAATAGATATAAATTAGGTATTTTTAAATCAAAAAATGGTTTGGAATCTGTCGAAAATACATTGGGTTATACCGTTTTTTTTAAGATTTACTAATGTTGATCTGAACCCGATAAAATCCGAACCGGTTCCAAACTAAATTTTCATATAATTTGAATGGAGTTGATTTTGATAAATTCAAAACACCGAGATCCGATTGAACAAAACTGAAAACCGATTGGGATCCCGAATATCTTGCTTAAAAAAACAATATTTGATGTGTATTCGTTAGTTTATGGTTTCCATAGAAATTGTGTACAATAAAATAAAAATAATATTTTCCAAAATGGTTTTGATATATATCTATGGTTTAGTTCTCCAATGGATCGTTCATTTTCATGGCCTAATAACATAAACAAAACTTGTGATAGAAATAACACCAGAGAATATCTTCTTAGACTTAACACTTTAATGTTTAAACTTCGGTTTGTTGGCGATGAAAAAGATTACAACATAAAACTCCTTAAAGAAATGTTCTAAGATCAAAACGAGAGAAAGTGATAACAGTTGTGCAATTAGACAATGATAAAGAAATTTAAACAAAAGTTTGTGATAGACGGGAAGATGCTGAAACTCCAAAAGTAGTAGCTTGATGTGGAAATCCTGTTAAACATTGTTTATCATATTAAGCAATTTACCATATAGAATTTCTAGAAACATTTGAATTTTCAATATAGTAATATACCTGATAGCATATCATATGGTTCTCCACATAGCTTAATCAGGATGTTCCTGATCTCACCCTGAAAGCAAAAGAATCATATTCTAATGATTTCCATTGATAGCATAATGACAGAGACAAAATATAAACTATTGAAGTACCTGTGCGGTTCGTTTTTGCTACTACACTCATGAGGAATTTGATGATATTTGTATTTCCTCTAGCGATTGCAAAATCCTGCAAAAAAATTTTTTAAAAACAATAATGTTTCAGTTTTTTACGTAGTTAGTGTATGCTTAGACAAAATAAATTTATAAAAAACGTACCAATGGTTTTATGTTGTTATAATCGGCAGAATCCATACTTACTCCCCAGCGGATCAACTTCTTAACCATCTCAAGATCTTCAGAAAATATTGCATGGTTGAGCAAAGATGCATTCCTGATCACATCCTTTTGCATTTGAATACCAAATACGGACTGCGATAGCCTCTCAGCAAAAGCAGGGTCTGTCCCCTGAAATACAGTAGAGACATTTTTCCTAAATATATATATTATAAAGCTAAGTTACTGAAATCACTCTTGAGACTTACCTTCGATAAATTTCTCATCACACACGCTCCATCTTCAAGATAGTTGTCAAGACACTCCATGAAATATGTTTTGCTTATGATGAGAAACTTGCTTGCCTTGTAGGTTCGGATAGTATGTGGAAGAGGTTCATTCAGGACAAACGATTCTAATCCGAAGATTGTAGTAGGCCTTTGAAGAGGTGGACGTACAGTTCCTCCTTGCAATAGTTCTGCAATAAACATATGTTTTACATCATATTCATATATAGCTTGGCAAAAAAAAGTCATATGTAGCAGAAAATCATTACCAAGCCTCCTGCGTATAAGATGTGTAATTGCCTCACAATATTTCCTTCTTCTAAGAGTGTGAATCCTGGGGGATGGAAATCCTGATGAGCCCCACTAGCCTAATAGGACAGACATAAACCGAATGATATGAAATTGTTTCCAACTATATAAATAGAGTGAAGTTGTAAAATAAACAATTAAGAGGACTCTTTAATAAGTTTACCAGATGCTTAAAAAAATCAGGTGAACATCCCTTGAAAAGAGAAACACTCCGGATAATGCTTTCATTGAAATTTTTATTTATCTGCAAATAATAAAAATTAAGATACCCTTAAGAAGCAATATAGTGTCAGAAACTAAGTAACACTTGAAGATTAATTCGTAGAAGCACAAGGGCCGATGCATAATAAGTAACGGCCGTGTAATGATTACTGTGAAACGTGCAAGTGTAATATTATTGTGTAACCTGCGTGTAGGGCTGGGACTTCTGGTATTCGGTACGGTTCCGGATAATATCCATTCGGTTATAAAAAAACTATACCCAACTAGTACTTAGTAAACTTCGATTCGGATCCGGATCGGTTCCACCCCGGTTCCGGGTCGGTTCCGGTGTTCAAATTTAAACCCGAAAAATAAATATTTTGTTTTATTTTTAATTTATTTTTATTATTTTTAAAAATAAAAATAAAATAAAAATAAAAATCATATATATACTAGTAGAATGTACTAATGTACAACGATGTTGAGTCAGTTCAGTGGTATTGCTCCTGATAATTTGTCCCTCCAACCCGGGTTCGACGCTTCCTAGTCACATTTCCATGTTTTTTAAATATATAATCCGGTTTATTCGGGTATCCGATCGGTTCCGGATAAAAACCGAAACCGAACCAATACCGTGAATAATCAACATTAATACCCATCGGTTAATTGTGGCATGACCGAAATCGAACCGAACCGGTCTATTCCGGGTCGGATCCGGTTCGGGTATTCGATTCCGGTTAATTGTCGCAGGCCTACCTGCGTGCAAGAATGGGATAGTAATGATGAATTATGCCTGCTAATTTAAATTATCAAAAAGAAAAAGAAAACTAGAAACTTAAGTCTCATAAATACTACCTTGGCTATGAGATAAGCTGGAACATCTTCGACAATTTTCTTATCGTAATCATCACTATATTTCATCTGCATATGACCTCTGATGTCTTCAGCCAAATCGTCAGCAATTTTGACTTGTTTCAGATACTTCTTCAGATTATCCATCTTCTCTCCAACTATTTGCTTCTTCAATCTTCTCCCAAAGATTGTTAGTTGGACACCTAAGTAGGTCCACACAGTTAAGCTAACGACGCTGAGACATGACAAAGCTACCATCTCAGTCAGATTAGTTGCGTGAATGTCTCCATAGCCTGTCAAAATAATAATTCTGCTAATTTAATATAATCCACAAAAGAATTTCTATTGTAAAATTTTAAACATCAAAAATCTGATTTTTTATCAACGGTGGAGAGTGTCACAGTCGCAAAATAGGTTGATGCAATGTATTTCTCCACATTCCCTAACCCTGAGAGATTTTGATTGTAGACTTCAATATCAGACATCCAAGTCTGATATATTTGGGGAAGACCTTCAAAATCTGTGGCAAGTTGATAAAACATGCATCCAGTTGTGCGGATGCAATACAACTGTATAGCCATGATTTTAATGAACATGATGAAAGCAAAGTTGAAGCTTTCAGATTTTTCAAGTTTCTCTAATAGCTCTTTTCCTCTCATAACCCGAACAATCTTAATCCACAGTAAATACTTCCACTACATAAATATAATATAAAACAGACATTAGCGAGTTGGTGTTACAGGACATGGTTACTTAACCCTAGGAAGTTGGAAGCGTGGTTGTTGTCCCATTGAGTGGAAGATTCGGTTGAAACCACGACATCAACAGATTTATCCAATTATATTACAAATCATCTTGTAAAGAAAGTTCATTAAATAGATTAAATAATACCCATTCTAACAAGGGAAAAAGGGTAAATGCAAGGGAAAAGGATGCACAAATTTTGTATAAAATTGTAGGTAACGTTGAAATTTTTTAGTCGAGATATATATATATATATATATATATATATATATATATATATATATATCATTCAAACTGATCTTATGTCCATGGTTTCAAGAAATGCTAAGGAAAATGATAAAACAATATGAGTGATAAGGAAAGGTAAGATGATATGGAAATGTCTTACCTTTGCTTAGAGTATGCCTGATTCTTGATCCTAGTGTTCTAAGGGGTATGACAAACTACAAAGAGAGGACAAACACAATAAAAGGTCTTAGTTTGAGATTCATAACTATAAGGAACTTGAATCAACAACAAGGATAAATACTAGCTTCTCGATTAGCCAAGGATGAAAAATAAACTATGTGTGATAAATACTAAGAAAATGTTTTACCTTTGTCTAAGGACGAGTTTTTCTGGGGGGCCTCTCTATCAACGAACAATTACCTTTTACTTATATACTCATGAATGGTCATAAAACCCTAGTTCTCTAAAGGATCGATGGACATGTTTTATTATCGAATCATTTTGTTATATCTGTAGGACGAGCAGTACGAGTGTCCCTTTCATGCATAACGTTCTGATTATGCATTGTTGGCTCTGTCCGCTATTTGAATAGACAGGCTTTGTTTGTAACAACCGGAGCCCATTTTGGGCTTACATTGATGCCAGACCGAAACATAATCTTGAGACCTGTGAGTTTTTATTAATCATCAAATACTTGGTTTCTATTGAACATGTAATTCCTAAACTATAACCTGCTAGAAAAAAATAATTTAATTATATCTAAGAGGTTACATACAAAAGATATCAACTGGAGATATACTGGTTTTTAAGTAAGATATCATTTTAGGGAAAGATGATCAAAACTTGTAGCCTATTGGTACACTTGAATGTGAGTTAGACTAATATGATGTCTTCTCATATACCATAGTATTTTTAAATTTCTCATATCCAGTAATAGTTTAAAACTACATAGGGTATATATATATAAATCAAACTCAAAATATAGTTGTTTCTCATTGCAAAAACGTTACGAAACGAAACCGTCTTTAAACCTCAAAATCTAGGTGATGATTGTTTTGTTAGTTTTTAGATTTTGGTTTTTGGTTTTTAGTTTTTAGTTTTTGGGTTTTAGATTTTGGTTTTTAGTTTTTGGTTTTTGATTTTGTAGTAGATTTTAGTTTTTCAAAAAACATGAATGGTTGTTTTAGATTTTAGTTTTTGGTTTTTGGTTTTTGCTTTTAAAAATAATCAAATGAATTAATAATTTTTTTTGAATAAATAAAAAAATAAAGTACTATCATCAAAAGGACACGTAAATTATTTAATAAAATATTTTTAAATAAAACTAATGTGAATCTCATAGATATAGAAATTTGATTTTGAATGCCTTTCATATAATACCACAAAAATTATCAGTAATATATATATCTTTTTATAATGACTAACTTCATAATTTTAAATTTATTTTATTGATAAATTTAAATTTTTGATATGCATTTTTAGTTTACATCATTTTATTATAGAGAAGATAACATTTTAAATATTATAACAGTTTATAGTACAATAAAGCTTTGACAAATTTAGTTTTTAGTACAGTTATTAGAAAATAAAATTTTAAATAATTAATTTTATTTTATTGACAAATTTAAAGAATGGTATTAATATCAATTATTTTAATATTGTGTAAGCAAATGCTTCTTACTAGTATACGGCTATTATCCTTTTTCTTATTATCTTATATTAATTTTTAAATATTTTAAAAATATTGTTTTTGAATTTATTTTTTTGAAAAACCCATCGTATGTTTACAAAAGCTACAAAAACTTGGTTTTTGGCTTTTGTGTTCAAAAAACAGTTATTTGTAAAAACTAGTTTCCCTAGATTTTAGGGAATCCATTTTATGAAAATCTTGATTGGGTGAAAAATGATTTTTGGAAAAACTAAAACCAAAAACCAAACCAAAAGCTACAAACAATCATCCTCCTAGTTCCCATATTCTTGTTTCATTACTCGTTTCTTGGTTCATAAGACATGAAAGACAGCCTAAAAATTCAAAAACACACATATTTTTCAACCCAATTCAACTTGTCTGAGTGACACATAGTCACTATAATGGAACTCTTTTTTAAGGGGGGGGTCAAAAATGACTAACAAAATCATAGGTTTTAACTAGTAACCACCAAAATAATATAAGGAATAAGAAAGAAATGATCGAAAAGGAAAAAAATAAAAGGAAATTTTTTTCCCCTTCTAATTTGACAAGGGATAATTGTAGGCTTTAACGGGTAATCAAAGTAATATGAGGAATAAGAAAGAAAAGAATGCAAAAAGGAAAATCTATTCCTTTCTAATTTGACAAGGAATAATTGTAGTTTTTTATTTGTTAAAAGAAATCATAGGTAACAAATATTCCTTGTAAATGGTGTAAATTGTAAGGAATAATAAAAAAATTGACTATTCTCATTCATTCCTTTGGTCACCATTTGGAGCCGTAGGCTATGAATGGTGACCAAAGGAACGAGGAGGAACAATACATTCCTTAATATTGCTAAAAAAATTTACCATTCATAAGGAATAGATTTTCCTTTCTATTCCTCATCATTCCTTTTATTGTAGAGATTTATTGAACAAATTTGTTCCTTATTAAACTTGATATGGAATAACTATTCCTCTTCATTCCCATAATTTTATTCCCATCTATTCCTTTTTTATTTGTTCTTGATGTTCCTGTGATGGTTACCAGTTAGAGCCTAGTCTTTTATTTCTTAAATCTTAAGGAATGTTAAGGAATCATAGGTAACAAATATTCCTTATAAATGGTGTAAATTGTAAGGAAAAGTAAGGAACTTACAATTTTCATTAATTCCTTTGGTCACCATTTGGAGCCATAGTAATATTTGAGTAAAACTGTATATATAGTAACACATTTAAAGGTCCGATGAACCCTAATCCTCAAATGGAAAGCATCTTTTCCAGCTGATTTCACCATGTACTTGTTGCAAGTGATACGCGCAGCCTCGAGCGCTTCGCTGGAGACGTTTTCTTTCTCCCATGAGACGAGGTGGACGCAGAAGGGGAACTCGTCGACTCCTTTCTTCTTCATCCCGACGTCGTAGATTCGGATCTCGGGGCTGGGGACACCGCGGCAGTAGCGGGATTTAGGGTAGGGCTTTCCCTTGATCTGACGTAACATCTCGCAGGTCCTATGAACATTAATCTCATAGGTTTATAAATGAATGGCGACACATCTCAAAACCCTAGATTCTACAAAATCGAAATTGGAGCCACAGAGATTAGCAGAAACACGAATCTACTACTACGAATCATACATTACAATCAGTGGCAACACATCTCAATCCCTAGATTCTACAAAATCGAAATTGGAGTCATAGAGATTAGCAGAAACACGAATATAGCTACTATGAATCATAGGTTTATAAATAACACATAGTAACACATTACAAAACTGTATATATAGTAATCCTTTCCATGTTCGTTTTAAAGACGCCGCTAGTGGCGGCAGCGGCCAACAAATACTCTGTGAAAGAACAAAATTCAGAGTTTTAAAGACGCAACTAGCCGCAAGCTGATAATCGAAGGCAGGGAATCGGAGTTGCCGCTGTCGCTGATATTTTCAGCGGTATCTTTACGGGTTGTGATTTGCCGCGGCGTCTGAATAAGAAAATCCCTTTTGTCTTGACTGTGATGTACTCGCCCTATCGTAGAGATAATTTGGAGCCGCAGCCGCTTGTCCCAGCGTTGATACAACGAACAGGGCTATATATGCGTGTGAATATATACGTATGTGAGAAACACGGTTGTGATAAATTAAGTTAACAACAATTCTCACAAATATCTCTCGTTCTTAACAAAATCCTAAAATACAAATGAAGATGTGGAAATTGGAAAACAAAAGAGAAGAAGATATGAATCACAACATGCATATATAATTAAACTCTCAGGTAGTTGTTACGGCATGCAAGAGAACGGCAAATAGGACAATGTGCTGATCTACAGTGTATAGGGAGGGGGCAGCTGCCCCATATAAAGATTTAGATATTAATTTATTTTTCATAGTAAATCTTAAAGATTCTGTAGCTCAGGTGGTTAAAACCTTCATTTTGTCCCCACTCTTCTTCTATTCGAACCTCCATCTGACCCCTTTAATATGCTCTTCTATTTTATTATGAGTTTACTTTTTTAATTTTTTTTATCTATGTGTCGTATCAACTATTTCAACTTCTCACATTGTCTTTCTTCTAGTCATTTTTTTTTTCTTAAATAGTAATTTTTTTGGGATAATTTGAAAAATATCCTATTTGTGATTTAAATTTTGAACAATGCATTTATGTTTTTGCTTTTTGAAAATTACTCTTTCTTTTATGTGATAAGACAATTATATCCTCTGATTAAAATTAAAAAGTTAAAGGATCTCAAATTATTATTAATATTATTCGTCTGTAAAAAAAGCTGCTCCATAATTTATTTATTAACTTAATCAGTGACATATTTGGTAGTTCATAGTGTGTTTTGTTCTTAGAGTTCAAACACACATCATTTACAGATTACCTTTGCTTATAAAAATGTTATATTTGTCATGTGTAAAAAACATGTGACTCAAGTAACATTTGATTCCTCCGGATAATCTCATGCTATGACGATGAGATGTATTTCATCAAAACATACATTGAATTCTACTGTTTTTAAGCTTTTGAAGTTGTTTTCACCAACTCAGCAATCTGGAAAGACATGATGTAAAGTTGTCTAACTTACATTTGTCACTAGAAATATTCACATGCAAACTAACCATCATAATTTTTTGTCTGCAGGTTTGAAAACTACCAATATATAAAAGCCTATGTATACTAATACTCCACAATATATCTATTTTATTCATGAAACCATTGACCTTTTCCAGTAATATTTACACATCATAATCATTAGATTGGTAATCTTGAAAAAATAGAGAAGTTCCGTGATTTGCAGGAAAATAGAAAACAGCATATGTATGGTGGTGATATTTTTCTATGAGTATATTAGATTAGATATTATTGTTGAGTTTTTGTTGTTGAATTTGTTACTAACTATATTTTCAAACGCTTAATTCAAAATTTTATTTATGGATTCACTGAAATTATTAATTGAAATATTAAAATAACTATAGACATTTAAATTTGATAGTTTAGTAATTTTGCTTATAGGTAAAGGTATTTATCCAAAAACATAAAAAATAGTGTAGTTTTCAAAATATAATCTCACCTTAAGATATTTTTCCAAATTTCTTTTGTCACTCAAACTTTCAATATAAGTGTTTTCTTTGCAACTTATATATTCTATTATTTTAAGCTAAAAAGAAATTTATTCTATTATTTTTTATTTCATTTTTATTTTGTTAGTGGTTTCATCTTATATTTCTTTTCAAAACAATTATGTTAGTTGATCAGTTACACTTTAGAAAAAAAATTTGACCCCAAAAAATAGAATTTAAAAATATTTTTTTTTTTAAAATTATATAAATATTTGTATAATAATATTTAATTTATAAATATTAACTAATTAGCTGATTAATTTTTCACCACTAAAATTATTATCCGGATCCACCACTAAAATTATACTTGAGCTTAAAAACTAAATTTTAGAGATTTCATATGGGTCACTTGACACCCCTCACTCCAAGGTGCTTTGGCCCATGAATCTTCACGGCTTCTTTCTTTTACGTTTTGGTAAATCTCTTCCCGACCTCTTATGTTCAAGGATATATTTGTCTACAGCTACCCAGACGGTGCAACAGTCGAAAAAGAGGCCCAGGGCTAGGGAGAAAGCCTCCGAAAATAGCTCGATGTGGAGGATCTGTCAAGGGATAACAACTTCCATATAAGAAACATCCGCAGAGAAACTAGAAAACATCACACCATCATACGACAATCGAAGCATCTTAAGCTCTTTCTTTTCTTTCTCTATACGAGAAAGGCAACGAACCATCCCAGAACGTCGAGCCATCCAAGGATCTGATCAAGCACCAACCTTAAAATATCACATTTTTCAATTTAGGTTTCAAATAGTGTTCATATCTAACATTCATTAGATGATTCTGTATAATATCCTTTTATTTTCTCTTAACTTGTTCCGAGAATATAAGTTCTTATATAAATTTAAAAGTAAACTTATCAAAACAACTATTATTTAAAATGAGTGATTTTTGAATAAAGTGAAAACTAAACTTCTGCTTCGTTTTTGTATGGTTTGTTTGTTTTTATATATGTAGCTCTGATTTTTACTATAGTTTTGATTGATTTTAGTTTGTTTCTTAGAGAAACTGTAAACGTATGTAAAACCACATTTAACTGACTAATTCCGAAGTGAAATTAGTTAACAGCGAGCTCTTTGGTTGGTTGTCTTCGGTTTTAAGACACCTAAAAAATATTAGTATAAGAAATATCTATATAGATATATATATATATACTAGGACCAGCCCGCCCTACGGGCGGGATATACTTTACCTTGTGATCTAGGTTATTAATATTTTTATAGTTTGTATTTTAGATTTTCATTTGCAAAAGATGATTATGATAATGATTTTGTTTTTCAAAAAATTTTAGGCTATAAGGGATTATATGTCATAAGATTTTTTTTGCTTGTTTGCAATAGTTATTTTTGTTGTCCAAAAAAATAATAGTTGTTTCTATATTAAAGAAATATGGCATTGTTATGTTACGAGGGCTTCAGATAGTCTTCATGGTGTTTCTATATTAAAGAAACATTTAGTTTATTCTCAATTAATAACAACTGTTTGGTTTTTGTTATTTTTGTTAGAAATCATACACTTATCTAACTATAATAAAAATTCCTTTTTAATTAGTGTTACTATTTTTTTGTTCTAACTTAATTATAATATAAGTAAATAAATTATTCAGAATTACATTGAAGTTCAATACATAGATCATGAATTCTCTCTCTTATAAATTTCTTTTAATCCATTAAAGTTCAAAACCATTATTGTTCCTGGTGTTCATCAGTCTCATTTTTAAGTTTATTGTTGGGTGATACTTGGTTTTGGTAAAATAAGCTAGATTGTTTTAGAAACAAATATGAGCATCTATGGACCATTTCTTCCTTGGTCTTACTCTTAAACATATGATTTCAGATTAAGGGGAAAGAGATTCATAATGCATTCTATGTTCCATTCAAGATTCAGAGGATCCATTGGTAGAATTTTTTTTAAAGAGATCTGAAGTTACATTCGAACTAAATTAAATATTCTTTGTTCTATAAACAATGAGGATTGTTGTCTTAAAACAACTAACATACTTTAAAAAGAAACTGAAATACGTAGTATTTGGATTTCCATTACTGAAGTACTAAAACTTTTGCATGGTTTGCATATTTTTAAACATATTTATAGTGTAAACTATTTATTATGAACATTTATGTATATTTTTATGAGTATTTGCATTCCCTACACATGACATTTACCCTATTTGCATTCCATATCCTATTTCCCCCCCATTTTTATTCCCTCCATCTTCAATATTTTCCCCTAAAATTAAGGTATTCCACTTCTTTTAGTATTTTGAGCAAATTAACTCTATTTTTATTAGTGAAATATTGTTGTAAAGATTTTTTCATTTTTAATCCCTCATCCCAAAAATGTCTTCAAAGGCCACTAAAATCTATGCACCTAAGGGTAAATATATCTTACGGGCAGATACGCAAATGAATTCTTTTAAAGATATTTTATATACATTTAGAAATATTTAGTTTATTCTAAATTAATAACAATTATTTGATTTTTGTTATTTTTGTTTGAAATCATACACTTTTTAATTAGTGTTACTATTTTTTTTTCTAACTTAATTATAAAATAAGTAAATATATTATTCAGAATTACATTTGAAGTTCACTACATAGATCATGAATTCTCTCTCTTATAAATTTCTTTAATCCCTTTGATAGTTTTATAATTTCTTATACATTTTCTTTTAAATCAAGCTTTTCATAATGGAAAGGAGAATTAGTGTAAAATTTATTTTCTAAATTAGCTAATCTGACGTTCCAAAAAAAAATAGCTAATCTGTATAATAGTTTAATATTGATCTTTACTACTTAAAAATAACCATATTTATTTTAAGAAATTATCAAATAAAATAAATGAACAGATTAGGATATTTAAAAAAAAAAATATTACTATTAGCTTCTAAAGTATAGCTTGTGATTTTCTTTATTTCTATAACCTAACAGCATCAGTGCTAAAGATCAACATAAACTACAGAAAAGTTGCGATCATTTCAATGGAACAACCCAGAATCTTGTGAGGTTTATTATTAAAAACAATTAACAAAAGATCTTTTGCTCTTTATCTCTGCTCTAATCCATGATTATTCTCTGGTAGCGTCCTCTCTCCACTTTATAAAGGTCTGCAGCCAGCAGCCATAAGCCAAAGGTGACATACGAATAGCACAAAGTAAAGTTTCATAGTTGGAAAAAAACTGAAAAACATGAACAATAACAAATATGTTTTGAGGGTACTGAAAATGCAAAATGTACATCTACTACTGAAGCTTGAGTTCCATGATGTTTTGGTCTTGGGAGGATATGTCGAGTAAACCTTGAGCACCCTCTCTACAACCCCCAGCTGTGCATTACCTTCAGCAGAAGCCTCCTCCATCTTTGATGGGTCAGTGAGTTTCTTGGTCATACGGAACCCATCCAAGGTCTTTTACTTTGTGTACTCCCTGATGTTGTTGTCAGGGTATTGACGCCCCACTTGAAGCAAGGCAGCCTTGGCGTATAAGAAGCAGATCATTTGTTTGGTACAAAGCCTGCTTAGCTGCAATCAAGGATATAAAAAAACAGATTAAAGGTAATGCAGGAACAGAGAAGTGTCTAAAGGCCTATTAAAATTTACCATAAACATTAGTCTCCAAATTTGTGTGAACATTAGTCTCAATTTTTTTTTAAAAAAATATTTGAATATATACCAGTGGGTATACATTACACAGCCAGATTGATATATAATTTTCATCAGAAGAGTGGTTCAAAGGCAGAGAATAAGAGCAAAACCTAACATGATCCAAGGCGTCAGCTAATTAGTGAATACTCTTTACAAAGAAGAACAGCAACTAATAAGTGGATCTTGTTCTTCTACTTGCTCAGAGTTCTGTCTTTTCTGATCACATAGAACAACAAAAGAGAAGCATTTTTAATTCCGTATATTACATATCCAAGTGTATATGAACAGAGAGAAAGAGAAAGACCAACTTGTCTCTAAATTTGCGGCATGAAACTGGACTTAGGAGGATTAAGTGCAAATTTGGCAACACCTATAGTGTTGCTGTGGATCTGCATCAACATGGCTCCCTTGGATTTGCTTCTCTACAGACGACATTGGATAGCACAGATGCAAACCTCCGATGCAGCTTTAGAAGACGCCTGAGACACCAGGGTAGAGGCGGACGAAGAGTACTGTGCAGGAACCGGGGTTGGGTTAGCCGGATCCTATCCATTAGCTTCTTACCAGATGAATCCTGTAAAAGAAGGAAAACTAAAAAGACAATTTCAGAGAAGGAGAAGTGAAGATAAAAATTACCAATCTTAATAACTCGCAAAATTTCTCACTTTTGAATTGGGTGAAACAGATTTTATGTTGTTCAACGGCATCTGATTTGCTGGAATCAGGAAGCTTCTGGGTCAGCTCTTGATCATATCAGCTGATACGTTCTCACTGCCATAAACAAACCAAGTTCTCATCCCTTTTAGATTCTTCTATAGCATCTGTCCCAGTCATGATTTTAGATTCAACGATAAGCAACAGAGCAAAGATATAAAACATTATTTGTGGTAGGGAAAGAGAGAAGGGAATATTACATAATTTGCTTCTGAACAGTTCTTGGTCTTTTCTTTTGTCTTCGAGGAGGTGATATTTCCCAATGAAGGCTGTGAAATCTTTTTCGACTTCTTCCCTCAACAAAGAACAGTTTCTGCGAATCTCCATCACTACCTCCTTCGTTACTACCTCTGTTGCTGCCAATGATCCTCGTGGGCCCATCTCCCAGGTTCGTTAGAAGCAGCTCTTGTCGTCCTTAGATTCCACGGTGGAGTTGCAGAGTTCATCTCCTGGTTTCAATAGGGAGAAGGAGACGGAGAAATAAAGGTGAGGAAAACGGGTAGCTTGACGCACCTGATGAATCTCTGCTGACCCCATCGGAGATAAGGCAGATGAAGTTGGAGTCGTTTTGATTTCTCCACGGCAGAGGGAATTTCCATTGGTTGAAGAAACTGATAATTTGGGTCTCTCTGTGCCATGAGAAGAATCTTTATCTTTGGTCCCTTCATCACCATGAAGGAAGAGAGATTAGCACACTAACCTATTAATACAGAAATCGCCGTCGAAACAACGCATCAGAAGCTCTCGTAGTAGGATCACGAATTAATGTGATTGAAGACGCAGTAATCACAACGCCTTCCATTACATGAGATGCATCTGGCTGTTCATTCAGGGAAGGGAAGAGAAAGTCAAGCGGCGGTGTCGTAGGAAGGGAGGAGAAGATACGCAAGATATGCGTTTAATAAAACACGGCATAAGCTGTCCTACGTGGACTGTATCCTACGTGGCCTTTCTAGACTGGCATCCGATGTGGACGCTCTCAGGAGGAGAGATGCTCTTCTTTATATAATAGATATATATATATATATATATATATATATATGATCATTGACAATATATAGTGCTAACTGCTAACTACTTGAAATATTTACCTCCAATATTTAGATGTTTAAAGTAGGTATATGATTATGCTTTACACTTGAATGTGAATTAGACCAGCATAGTGTTATTCTCATGTCCAATATTTTTTTTTTAAATAAATATATATATATATATATATATATATATATATATATATATATATATATATATATATATATATATATCGAACTCAAATATAGTTGTTGTCAACTGCAAAATGATACGAAATCGACCCCTTTAAATCTCAAAATCTCATTCCCTCATTCTTCTTTATCACTCGTTTATTGGTACAAACATGCAGCGTAAAACTCAAAGAACATACATATATCTCATCAACCCAGTTCAACTTGTGGCCTTGTAGGAGTGATACATAAATACATGATGGAAACTACTTACAAAGTCATAGTCATATTTGAGTAAAACTGAATAGTAACACATTTAAAGATAAATAAAGTTAACAAATTCTCCGAAATATCTCTCGTACTTAACAAATTCCTAGAATACAAATGTAGATATGGAAATTGGAAAACCAAAAGAGGAGAAGATAGATAAAATAAAACAAAGTCATTAATCATAAGTCATAACATTTTTGTTGTTGTTTTAAGTATGTTAATCTCATTAACGAATAATGAAGCTTAGAAATACAATCGGCTTTGACGAATCTAATCCTAATGTATCTAAGTCGCTAAGTCAGAAGACAAAGCAATGGTGTCTTAGGTAGCCACACAAAAAAAAGGTAAAAAAGACTAACTAAGACAAGGAAGGTTCAAACACGACCATATGGAAGTGACTGAAGCTTAGCTAAACATTACAATTCCATGGACAACACCTGGCTTGCAAGAGACCAATGTGTATATCTCGAAGCCGGAACCTGCAACAAAATCACATTGTTCATTAGAGAACACAACCGGAGAATGGTCCGAGGGACCGCAGACCTTCCCTAAGGAAACTCCGACAAGTGGACAGGCGAAGCAGGGTCGGTAAGTCCTGTTCCCGCCATCGCTAGTAGGTGAAGTTTACTCCAGACGTTGCAATCTCAAGAAGATGTCAAACCGTACTCTGGGAATCCAAACTGACGAAAAGAAACCGGCTGATGAAGCACAGGTGGAGTACTGGCAGGTGGAAGCGGAGGTTTTAACGGCTCGACTCCGGTCCCACCATGCGAGCAGAGCACAGAGGAACCCGGCCGCAGAGCATCGAGAGAGGCAGAGGACAGAAGCTACCTTCCTTCTAAAGCTTGAAAGCGGAGGAGCAAGAAGCTCCTATCAACAGGTGAAGAGAGGTGAAGAAAGCCGACAAATGGAACCTAGATATAACGGAGTAACAACACGAAATCTCCAATCCAACACAAGACCCAAACAACTCAAGACCCAACATAACACCATGGTGGTTGTCGAGAAATCATACCCAAGAAGAAGTCACCAACGATAAGCCTTTATATTGTCTTTTCAACTTGGAACAAGTGAGGGAAGTTCTTACCAAAGCAGCCGAATGAGGAGACTGTTAGTTAGGATATGCACATATCCTTTTGGTATAGAATAAGTATATTCTTTGTATCTTACTACAGTTTTTCTCTCCCTACATCTTACTATATGTCGACGATATCATCCTTACAGGCTCTACATCAGCTCTGGTTGAATCCATCATCTCTGCTCTCACCGCAAAATTTGATCTATCCGATTCAGGCGTCTTCACCATTTCCTGGGTATTGCAGTCACTTTCAACGACTCTGGTTTGCTCCTCAGTCAACACAATTATGCTGCAGATATCCTTCACCGTGCCTCCATGACAAACTGCAAGACGTCTCTCACTCCAGTGGACACAAAATCAAAACTCACTGCCGATGATGAACCTCCTGTTGCAGACACGTCTCTCTATCGCAGTCTTGCTGGTGCTCTCCAATACTTGACTTTCACTCGCCCTGACATCTCATACGCAGTTCAACAGATATGCCTTTTCATGCACGATCCACGAGAGCCACATTTTACAGCCTTGAAACATATTCTCCGGTACATCAAAGGCACCATCGATCATGGACTAAAGATCACCAAATCCTCTATCACTAATCTGGTTGCTTACTCTGATGCCGACTGGGCCGGATGCCCTGACACACGACGCTCCACATCTGGCTTTTGTGTGTTTCTCGGCGACAGCCTCATCTCATGGTCCTCCAAACGTCAGAACACCATCTCTCGCTCTAGCGCAGAGGCCGAGTACAGAGGAGTTGCTAATGCAGTTGCTGAGACCACTTGGTTACGTAATCTGTTTCTGGACCTCGGGATCACATTGTCAAAAGCTACGATAATCTACTGCGACAACATTTCTGCAGTCTATCTATCGTCTAATCCTGTTCAGCATCAACGAACAAAGCACATTGAGATTGATATACACTTTGTTCGGGAACGCGTATCACTTGGTCATGTTCGTGTGTTGCATGTCCCCACTCACCTACAATACGCTGACATCTTCACTAAGGGACTACCTTCACCATTGTTCACGACATTTCGTTCCAGTCTGAGCGTTCGGCGACCATCGCTCCGACTGCCGGGGGGGGGGGTGTTAGTCAGGATATGCACATATCCTTTTGGTATAGAATAAGTATATTCTCTGTATATTTGTTTACGTAGATCTCTCACGATCTCATTCCCCTCTGTATAAATATATTGACGTGATCAATGGAATGTTATCAAGCCAAATACACTTTCAGAGACAAGGGTTGACGGTGGAGGCAGCGAACTGCCCAGAATGGCGAAGGCAGCGACGCTATACAAGAGAGATCTGACTCAGATCCGCTCAAGGTCAAACCCTAGATCTACCACCAAAACGGCGCCTACTTTCCAGATCCGACTAACCACGACCTCGCCATCTCTCCAGGGAAGTTGTAGACGCCCACAGTCACCGGTTTAGATCGCCGGATCCGGCTGCAACCCGACGAAGAACAGAGAAGATGAAGCAACGAGGAAGTGGGTTAACTGAAACTAGAGAAGGGAGAAGGCTGGACACACGGGAGACTGGGATGGCGACCGACGGGTAAAGACCCTTCGTCGACCACTGGAAGTCAGAGACGGCTAGGTTGTGTTCAGGCGAGGAAGTCGCAGGGGGAGAAAGAAAAGAGAAAAAGACTCTTTCACCTCTCTCTTATTTTTTAATAGGTGATTTTCCCGTGCTCATGCACGGGTATGAATACTTATCAAGTAAATATATATATATATTCTAATTTATTAATTTACATAGATATTTACTTATAATTATAAATTAATTTAAAATTTATATGTATAACTTATAGTAATAATATTATATTATTTTAATTAGACATACAATTTAGGAGATTTTATATTTATTTGGTTTGATTGTTTTTTTGGTCAATAGTTTATTTGGTTACACTTGTGTGTTTTAGATTGCATCTATTTTTCTGAATTCAGCTATAATATATTTCTTCTAAATATACTAAAACTTTGATTATTATTGCATTTAGATTGGTTATCGTCTTATGTATGTAAATATATATTAGTAAGATTACGTATAACTTAATATATATTATGCTTATAAGGAAATTAAAAATAAACTGAAATTTCACCACAAAAAAAGACTGGATTGCATCACTTAAATTGTATCACAAAGATAAGTGATGTTAGTTTGAATTATTTATTAATAAATGATGCAGAATATTTGTTTCAGTATCAGTTATAATAAAACGATGTTTTTAAAATCTATTTGACATCATTTTCATTGCGACTGATACAAATCTATCTAATCTACATCGTTTCAAACAATTGATACAAAATATAAGTTTACATCACGTAAATAACTGATACATGTATTAACTTGTGTTAATATCAGTTAGAGAAATGATATAGAGTAACATTATTTATAATAAACGATGCAAATTTGATATTAAATATACATTAGTTTACAATATATTAGTATATGTAGTACATTGTTTAATACATTTGATGATGCTAAAGCTTATTTTTATAAATTAGAATATTCAATATTGATTATATAAAAAAATTATATATTTACTGGGTATCTTACAAAAAGTTCTGATTAAATAATCAAGTTGAAAATTATAATTTTGTAAAATATATATAACTGATTTGTTACATCAAAGTATATGTAATTGATTATCAATATGTAATTATTCCAAAAACCCACATAAAAACAGTTTATGGGAAAATTGTACTCGAAATAAATGCTAATAGTTAATTAAATTTTATAGATTTGTTTTTAGTTTGTTAAGAAAATTGTTTGGCATTAAAAATAAATATATTTTTGACACAGAAAAATTAAGTTAAATATATTTGTTACCACAAATATAGTGATCTCCTTTTTTATCTCACCCCACAAACTCACGTTTTTTATATCA